CCTAACAGAAATCATTTAGAATCAAAGGGCAGATAAAGAGCTTCCCAGACAAGGTAAATCTAAAGAAGTTCATCATCACCAAGCCATTATTATATGAAATGTTAAAGGGACTTATTTAAGAAAAAGAAGATCAAAACTATGAAGAGTTAAATGACAACAAGCACATATCTATCAGCAACTGAATCTAAAAAACAAACTAAGCAAACAAGAAGAACAGAGATAGAATCATGGATATGAGTGTTTTGACGGTTGCCAGAAGCGATGCAGGTGTGGGGGAATGGGTGAAGAGGTGAGGGGGATTAAGAAGTAGGTAGTTACAGAACAGCCATGGGGATGTAAAGTACAGCATAGGAAATGGAGTAGCCAAAGAACTTAAACACATGACCCACGGACATGAACAATGATGTGGGGATTGCCTGAAGGAGCAGGGTGCTGGGGGTGGGCAAAGGGAGAAAAATGTGACAACTGTAACAGCATAATCAATAAAATATAATTAAAAATAATAAAATAAACTAAAATAAAAAAGCATAGGCACACTTGATGGCCATAATGAACAAAATTCCTTTTATACAGCAGTTTCAACCTTGGAAATCCCTCCCCCAAAGACATTCATGATCAGGTGTTATTCAATTTTTTTTCTCTTTTAGAGAAAGAGGCTGATTTTGAAATCATCTTCTTGTATCCCCATACTAAGTACAACAAACATAGCCTGATCTCCCTCGTTCAAGCTTATACGTGTCTGTATTAGCACTGGACTAAATTAAGACGCTGTCCTGTCATTATATCACTTTTTAAAACTGTACCACAAAAATAAAATAAATTATAACCTAAATCCATGCATGCAGTAAAGTAGTCCTCTTTCATTTCTGAAAGAAATTCGACTTTTACATGAACTTCAGGGTTAAAGTTTCTATAACATAGATCAGAAAGGAGCTAACATTGAAGTATAAAAACAATTTTCTTTGGCCCAATCCCATAAGTCATTAGTAATAACAACAACGATGCTACTTTTAAATCATAATAATCTTCTGGGGGAAAAAAATGCCAGAGAGTTTAAATAAAATCCCTTCACACCCTCCCCGCCCCCCATAGAAGTGTATTCTTCTAATAAATACAGTATACTATCCTTGGGCTCCCTCTCTTGAATAATCAAGCAAGCCAAACCCAAGTTCCCTTGCAGAGATTAAGCACACTGCTGGGAAGATAATTCATTCAAATTGTATTCAGAAGATAGTAAAAAGCAGCTGACCTATCTCCTTTAATTATCTATCTCCTTGGTAACCCAGCATCTCCAGATTCAAGGGCAATTAGAACACTTACCCAAATCAACTCCACCTTGAAGAGGCAACTGACAAGCCACCCATTTCTACCCATGACAGAGGCATTAGGCTGTGAAAGGAAACCTACAGAGCTACTAAGCACCTCTCCCAAATGGATCCCACCGACATTCTTCTTATATGAGAGATAATAAGCTAGATCTCTTAGCTCTGGAGATTTAGGGGTCGGGTAGCAGATGACCAAAAGGAATGTTGTTTAAAAAGGATTAGTCTACAGTGTTGAGGAAGCTACTTCTGTTGGAGATTAAACTTAACAAGGGGTTTTCGGAGTTGGGTCAGCCCTCACTGCAATACTCAGGGTGCTGCCCTCGCCCCTCCTCCTCCCCACCATCAACACCCCTACCCTTTACAAAGGCATGAACCCCGGTTCCAAACTAATAATAATTCTTTCTCTTCTGTGCTACAAATAGTCAACCACTGTGGTTAAATACTATGTATAACATAAACAGGGTCAAGAATGTTGGTTGCCAGTGGAGTCATGTTTAAATTAACGTTAACCAGCAGGCCCTTCCCTAAACAAAACCAAACAAAACAAAATGTCTTCTTGGTCAGCTCTGTGCCTGGTAAGTGGTTTTAATCCACACATTCCACAATAGCATTATTAATTTTTACTAAATTGAATTTCTCAAAAGTAGAAAAAGCACTATCAATTGGGAGAGGGGGCAGGAGAGAAACCACATATTCATTTATTCTGCAACTTTCATATACTCTGGATAAGCTAGCAGCAGTGCCCTAGAACTCACTAGCCATAAGTTACAATGGAATTTAATGGAATAAAAGCCTAGTCACCTCTCAATCATTTCACCCAATATGTGTTACTCAGTGTCCTCCTATATCTTGGGGTTACATGCTTCTTTCCCCTCCCCATCCCTATGTAGCACAACTCCTTAAAATAACATCCAAGTCCCCCCATAATTTACCACCTTATATCTTTCCAGCCCTCGTTGCCCTGGGCTCCAACCACCTCTACATCTTCATCCCCCAACATTCATCTTTTAAAAGATGCCTCATTTTCATCCTTCAAGTCCCTTTCAGGAGCCTTCCCCAAAGTCCAAATTTAATTTTCCATCCCGTGGCACGCCGAGGTTCTTGGGTTCTACAGCTGCCACCCAGTTATGCAATCCAGCCGTGACAGTGAAGCCTGCTGCATCCTTTCCCTGACACTGCTCTTTCCTGAGCCTCTTTTTGTTACTTTTTTTTTTTAAATCATCCTAATATCTCCTCTAGAGGAAGAAGTCAGTCATTGCTTATTGAATTAAAATTTCCCCCTTTTAGCTCAACTCAAAGACACCCATAATGGTTCTCCATGAAACAGTTAACTGGTAACACCATAGAGACTTTGTGGGTAAAGTATGTAAAAATAAGAAAACAAGCAGGAGTATGATGCCGAGTCTGAGAGGCCAGAGCAGACTTTCAGACGTTAGATCAAGAGCTGTGTTCATGTTTTTATCACATCACACTTCACTTTTAAAATAGTGTTCTTCAAGCGCGTATGTACATTGGTATCAGAAAAATTAAAGAAAGGCTACCCACACCAGGCACAGATATTAAAATCCTGATCACAAACTAAATTTCAAAAATCTTAAGATTCTCATTAAGACACTTGCAGCTTCCCATTAAGACGACAGAGTGTATTTGTTGCAGATTGCAACTTTCCCTACAAAGCATTTGAAATAAGCTTTCTGGCACCAACAGCCACTGTCAGACTGAATGTCATTATGTATCAAAAAGACTTGGTAAGTAAGGATTTTACTTCCTCTGAATTTTCCAGTAGGTCCAACAGAACAGATTCAGTAAAAGCTTGAAAATACTATGGTAAAATTTTGAATCAAATGATTCTTTGGAAAATATTAACTTCAAATGAAAACAGAAGTTTCAGAATGCCAGCTGCCGCTCACATCCCCACCTCTGTTCCTTTTCTCCCATCATCCGCAGGGATACGGAGACCCAGGCTGAGTGCCCACAGCACTGGGCAGCAGCTGACCGGCTGAGAGACAATACTGCAGATTAGAAGGAGCACAGGTCAGCGGTCGGTCGGGATCTCTTTGATTTTACAGCTAAGCAGGTTCACACATTTTAAATAAGAGTAGTGGAAGATTGTTTGGGGGAGGGGATGGGGAGTACTACTGATGCCCTTGGGGAGGAAGAAATAAAAAAGAGAAAAATGAACCCCCAGCTCAAGGCTCTTCCCAGCTCCAGGCATCTCCTAGTGCTGGTTTTCTGCCACCTTCCCCTGGCCCTCTTGCCTTCTCATTTCCCTCCAGGACTAACCCTTTCACACTTCCCCATCCCCTTTTCCTACTGTTCTAACATGGGATAACTACCCACCAGTTTCTAGTTACGAGGGGAGCTGGAAGGAACAGCAAAGATCATTAAACCCCTCCATTTTCTAGATGAGGGCGCAGAGAGGGAGAACCAGCTGACCTGACCGGCTAAGGGCGCACCGCTAGGGGACGCGGCGTGCGTGCTGGCTTGGTTTGTGACAACCCAGTCCTCCTGCCTGGCTCCTCAGTCCGCGCCTTCCCGCCACACACTACTGCTTTCTGCTGCTACTTGGCTGCTTTATCCTCAAATTAAATAGTAACAAGAACGAGGCAGCCTTAACACGCTTATAATGCTGGTTGTTGGTAACAGTTTTGTACTGGGGGCAGAAGCGCTCACTCGTACCCGGATTTGGTGAATCAGGGCTGAAACCACTCGCTGGCACAGAATGAGAGCGAGTGAGTGAATGAGTAATGGAATTTAGTTCGGTCCAAACAACCTAACTCCAGTCTACACCCTTTTTCATTGGGGCTTACTCTTTAATTTGATAAGGGACTATCTCCTTCCAAGAACTTATCAATATGTCCAGTGCAGGGTCCCCCTTTAGCCAGAACTGCAGGCTTTGAATCACAAACCTCTCACTTCACAGTCCTGCTAACACCGGGCAAACAATACTAATTCAAGTAGATGAAAAACACGGACTGTTAGAGCCTGAAGGAATAGAGGATTTTGCCCTGATTACTGCAGTTACATGTTTTCAATATGCACTTTTGCAAATATGCACCTATTTCAATGGGATACAACGCATTCATAGTGAAATTCTAAAAAGCAAACACTCGCTGGAAACCCACATTTACGGGAGGCAAAAAAATCCATGGACTGCAACAAAAAGGAAAAGAAAGAAGAGCAGAAGTAGCAACGGAAAGCAGCAATCTCGGGCCCCAGACGGAAGGCAACAAGTCCTGGATGCCGTCATTCTTACACATCAAAGGCCGAAAGGCAGCAAAGAAAAACAACAATAAATTTTTAATCCATTCAACACAAACTAGTCCTACACAAACCAAACGATCCCGTTGATTTCAAAATCACCAACTCAAAGCCAGGTCCCTCCCTTGCCTTAGATTTTCCAGTTACTTGCTAAGCGTGTTTGTTAAGCGGCTGGACAGACACTTAAGTTTAAAGTCCTCAGCCCGGGACAGACTACGGAGTCGTCGGTGAGAAGCAAGTGGAACTAGAGCTCCGAGCTGCGGCGCGCGGGGACACCCAGTGGTCCGCATCCACTCGGACGCGACTTTGGGGGGATCTTCAGCGCCCACAGCAAGCCTTCCCGTGCCCCCACCCGGCCCCAGGTAACCCGAGGCCACCTACGTGTCACTTGGGCGTGCCCCGGGACGCACTAACCTGGCCGGGGTACAGGAGGGCCGACGGCCCGGGCGTCTGCGGCAACTTCCCTCCCGGGGCTCGGTCAACTGGTTGGTTAGGGAGGCCAGGACAGCCTCGCCTCCTGCAGGCCGGCTCGCAGGAACGCACACCCACCCACACCCGACACGGGCGAGCGCGCGCGCGCACACCCACACACTCGCACGCACAGCCACAAAGCCTGCCTGCCGCCAGACAGTGCGATCCCAGTCCGCGGTTTGCAGTCGGAGGCGATTCCGTGGCCTCTGGCTCTGAGCCCAGGGGGCACCCTCCCCCCGCCCGGCGCCCTCCCCTTTACCTGTGCTCGCCGCCGCCGCCTAGAGTCCAGCTCCCGCCGCCCTGGGGCTGGCCTCCGGCTGCGTGGTCTATCCCCGCGGTCCCCCTCCCGTGGCCAGCCAAGCCAGCCCTCTGCCCGCCCCTCGGCCGTCTCCAGGAGCAGGGGGCCAGCCCCTGCGCCCACTCCGCCAGGGGTCCCGCGCAAGGCGGGAAGACCCGGGAGGGCTCTGCAGCTGCAGAGTCCAGGCTGCCCAAGATCCAGGCAGCCCTCCGCAGGGAGACAGGGGAGTCACAACTCCCGGAGCGTCAGACACCCCTCGGCCCCAAGTGCTCGGGCTTTGGCGCGCTGGCAGGGGCCACCGGAGAGGGGGCGCCGAGGGAGGGCCGAAGAAGCAGCGCGGACGCCAGCCTCCTTCCTGCCCGCCTTCTTTCTTTTCTGCTTGCTCCACGTAGCACAAGTCAGCAGCTCCTGCACCCCCCGACTCCCTCCCCCAACTCATTCCCTCACCTGGTGTGACACCCCCCGGAGCCCTTACCTTCTGCGATCCCCTTCCCCCATTCATTCACTGAACTTCCCGCCCGGGCTGCCTAAGCCTCCCATTCATTACTTTACCAGCCTCCCCCCACCCCGTCACTGCCCCCGCCCCGGGAGCAGACACACCCGCGGCGGGAGACCAGCGGCCCACAGCGTGGGGTCCCTGCCCCGAGACCCTCCAGAGCTCACCTCAGAGCCCGACAGCTGGCGGGACTCGGGTGGGCTCCCTCACACGCTGCATTTTCATTTTGTCGCTCTTCTCCTCCCACTTGAAAAGCCCTGGAAAACATCACGGGGCCGCAAAACCCCTGAAGTATGGCCTCTCTTGGTTTAGTTTCTAAACTTTGCAGAAGGCACCAAGTTTCTCCCAGCACGGCCTTTCATTGGAGGCTGCACAGCACGAACTGTGTCGACTTTGCTGCTACAAAAGTGCACGTGTTTCCCTATCTGAGTTTTCGATTGACCGGGTCTGCAGACCAAAGCAAGTGTGACCGTGCTCCCTTAGTCTTCTGTGTCCATGATTATAAAGTTCTCCTCCGCTTTCCCATTGAAACTTTGCAAGTGGGAACTATCAATGTTAGAAGGGTAATTAAGGGCGGGGAATGCACACCTGGAGGTGTGGGCGGGCAGGGCGCGGGACTAAGGCCTGGGGATCTTCTCAGGACAGTGGCAGCCTGGGCCCTAAAACCACACCCGATCAATGGGGGATCTCCAGCCGCACCACCCTCCAACCCCTCCCACCCTTGGTTTCCCAGGATTTCCGGAGTGTTGGCAAATTCCCTGGCTCTCACTGCAAGGCTAAAGCCTCCACGCATCGAAAGTAGCTGCTTAGGAGTACAAAGCTTAGTGAAGTCTCCCCTGAAATAACATCTAGAAGGCCACGCAGGCAGCGGTATGACAGGGCACCCGGCAGGGCTGATACAACTACATCGAAGACAGAAATGCCGAACAGCGAGGGAGGGCTGCGTTGGTGGGGATCACGCGGCAACCTTGGGCTTCTCAGAAAGGAGAGGTGACTGTAAACTGCATTGAGCAGGAAAGGAAACCTTCTCGGAGAAAATGGAAACATTGCACACTTCCGGGAGGTATGATTCCGAGAGAACACCATCATCTCCTGTCGGAGACTGACCACCTCTGCTGAGACGGCCGTGTGGTTTTCACAGGATGCTCAAGGCTAAACCCTGGCTGCCACCTGAAACTGTTTCCTTTTTAAAACAATTTATCAAATCCTTTTTTAAAATCAGCTTTAAACGACTCTGCTTTCTCTCCTTTCCTACCAGTTTATGATTTATTTTACAACAATCCACTGAAAATATGACAAAGATTGGAAACTTGAATACACAGCACTAACATATTTATGTAGGACATGCAGAAAGTGCGTATGCTCTTATCTCACAAATGAGAGGAGTTGATCTTAAACTCTAAAAAAATACTACATCAGGACAAAGAAGAAAATGTCCACTATAAAATCTAAATATGATGAAAACTATACATTGCTAAGAAAAGTAGACTATACCAAAAGGGGCTTTCGTTTCAACGGTAGTTCTCACCAACTCAGAAAAAATCACTTAGTTGATTTTCCCGTCTCCTTCTTACTACACACAGAAGGTTTCTCAAAACCAAAACTTCTACATCTTCTAATGGTGAATATTTTACATTTTTATTTTGAATATTTATTGTTATATTATTAATTACATCAATAAATATTAAATTGTTAATTTAATAATTATTCCAATATTTAGTCCTTCCTCACAAATCAAAGGTAATGTGAAAATGAGTTTCTTGCTTATTATTCCACTTGGATATTTTCCAGTATATTGACTTTCCCTCTACTGTCCTAAGAAATATGGCTGCTTCTTCTTAGACTATATAGTAACTGCTCTAACTGCTGTGGTCCTTTCTAACATCAAATAAGGAGTTGTGTCCACACAACGTGTATTGAAGAGTTCTAAGGTATTTGCTGTAAAACATTTTATTTCCTCTTTATCTGGTCTACCATGTCCTAAAATGAAATGGAAAACAAAGTACTAGGTCAGCCTGGACAGACCTGTTTTCCTCACGAGTGTGGGCCTGTCTGGAAGTGCTGGCTCGACAGCCAGCTTCAGAAGGTCAATAGCTTTAAAATCAAATCCTGTTCAGCACGGAGACTCAGCCATCAAAACGAGCATTGTGTTCCAAATAAGCCCGTTTTGTCATCTGTGAAATGGAATAATAATGCTAGTAACAGTATTTTATTGGGTTCCAAGTTTCTTTATCAAAGAAAGATAACATTTTTGAATAGGGTCCTTAAAACACTGAGTGGATGATGTTTCAACAGAGACGAAGGATGCCTTGATCCGCTTTCTTTAATGTTTGTATCTGTCTGCGGCCCTCTTGCCATTCAGATTTTATTCCCTTTCTTGGATAGTCATCCTAATGCTTTCTGTCCCAACCTTCCTCTGTTATCCTCTGCCAGGCAGTGTTTCTCTATGTTTGTTTCTTCAAATGAGTTTGGCAGAGCCAAATACACAGCTGGTGCGGTCAAACGTGAGATTTTCAGCAAAATCGAGAGAATTTTAATGAGGACTATTTCAACTATAGTTTACATTAATATCTTAAAGGATACCATAGACTTTGTCCAATTATTGATGTTATTTAGTGGTCTGAGGACTGTAATTTATCAAGCATTTAGAATTGGAAAACTGGTTGTCACTGCTTTGCGTTCTGTTCTCCCTTCCTCCCCATGTTTCCTTCCGTCTGGCAAAAAGCCTTTGAAATTTTCTACTAGAGAGTAATCAAAACTATCAGCAAAAAAGATCTGTTGGAAACTTTCCCTCCAGCCCATTTTGATGCAGAGACTAATTCAAAGAATACATTCTGGTGAAACAATACCTTAAGGGAATTCGGCCTGCTTGGGAAAGTTTTTCAGATGCCCCTCAAGGCATTGGTGTCTTCCTTTTTAAAATGGAGTGTTTGTGTCTTTCCAGTGTTTTTCCTCATGGCTAGAGAGAAAATACTCTCCTTAGGAAAACTTTCTATTTTCAAAGGCCAGGGGCAGAGGTGGGTGAGGCAGCTCAATTTAGGGAAGGGATAAAACCCATTCTTTAGGGTAGAAGTAGCATAAGGTGGCTCCAGAAATGGGGATCGTGTGTGTGTGTGTGTGTGTGTGTGTGTGTGTGTGTGTGTGTGTGGCAATCTTGAATGAAGACTAGACTACAATGGAATGAAAACCCTAGCAGGGGCGTCCAAACTTTTGGCATTTCTGGGCCACACTGGAAGAAGAAGGGTTGTCTTGGGCCACATATTACATGCCTGTGACATGTAATCACAAAAAAAAAATCACATAATGTTTTAAGTAAATTTACGATTTTGTGTTGGGCTGCATTCACAGCCATCCTGGGCCGCGTGCGGCACGTGGGCCACAGATTGGACCCCGCTGTGGCCTAAAGAGAGTGACTCCAGGCTCGCCTTTCTTCTTACTTCATATTTCGTCATGAATATTCTGGGTAATAATGCCTGCAGTAGATTAAAGACAAGCAAATGCTGTAGTCTTCCTCACACAAGTAGAAAGGCTTTGATCTAAAACAAAGGGGAAAAAATGAAGAACAAAAAGTAATGTGCATTATATGTATAATTTTAGAGCTAAAAATAGACATAGATACAAAGAAATCATAGGGTCACAAAACAAAAAGCTAGTTCTATAAAACTGGTAAGTTTTCTAAATAGGTAAATTTTCTAGTAAGACTGACAGTGGGGGGAAAAAGGAAAGAAACAAGACTATTAATGAGATTTTAATTATAGTTTCAGTAGTTTTTTAATACTAAGAGAATATTTTTGAAGAATCAAAAACAGCTAAAATAGACACTTTTAGTGAGATGTAAATTATAAAATTATTGAATCAAAAAAATTTAAACATGAATATATTTATAATCATTAAATAAATTGAACTTGTATTTCTAAATCTACCTACAAAAAGGGTCAAAAGTTTGGCAGGAATGACACCAGATCTCCATAGACAGATAAACTCTATTCAAATAGTTTCTAAGAATAGAAAACGAAGAAAAGCACCCAAATTCTTTTGAGCTAATAAAATCTTGATACCAAATTCAGACAAAAAACATAGAAAGGAAAATTACAGGCCAATCTCAAAAGGTATAAGTATTTTATACATACAATATTATCAAACCAATTTCAGCAATGTGTTTTTTAAAAATATAAGCACATTGGGTTGATACCATAATGTAAGAATGGTTGATAACATAATGTAAGAATGGAAAGGGAGGAATTTCCTG